TATGGAATTTTAGATAAACAACTAGACACTTATAATAAAATGGCAATTAGTCATCAAATTAGTGATGTCTAATTTGCCGAACAAAAATGTTGTTTTTGTGTGGTATGATATATTGAAAGAGTAATGCTATTTTCTATCTTTATTATCGTAGTTGTCTAACGTGGCATACATGTAATTGTTAGTTATTTGATATATTAATGTGGTAGTTTTTAATTGCCTCGTGTATTAAATCATTAATCGTCACATATACATCAAATAGAACGAATAACAATATTCCTATTGAAAATGCCAAAATATAATGACACTTAATGGTTAAGTTAATCACTTGAATTCATTAATAATGTGCTTTGAAATAAATTAATCCAAAGTGGATGTGGGATCTTTTCACTTTGATATTATCTTTGAGAATAAAGGTGACTCATAATTTTACTAGTTTTGCTACTGCTTTTCTACGTCCTTGACTTCTAATTGGTTTGGTTGTATGCGTTGTTTATTTTGCTTATGCCTAAATTTGGAATATTTTATGTGTACACCCTATGATATACACAATAGATTACACCCTCTTACATGGAGGTGGCCCACGATTATTTTATTATAGTGGGCTCTTTCGATGTGAGTGGGTGTAATACTTTGTATACACCATTGTGTACATATAGTACAATCCGCTTGATTTTGCGGTAAATAATAATAATGTCTAGTAGGAAAATTAAAAGTATGGAATTTTAGATAAACAACTAGACACTTAGGCCCTGTTTGATATAGAGAAGTTCGATAGAAAATGGAACTTCATTTCCATCTTCCACAAATTATAGGTGTTTGGTAGTAAAATAATTCCATAGAATTCACTCTCTAGGCATTCCTCTCATGCGTGTCTTTTCCAGCATTTGAAGGAATTGATTTTCCCACTTGTATGGTGGAAAAGTGAATTCCAGCTTCTTTTTTCTTTTTCTTTTTTTGCAATAGAAATAAATTATAGAAATAATTCTAAAAGAGGATATCCCTTAAATTGAAAATTTTTATATAAAACAAAGTCAAACGAACACCAAAATATAGATGATTTTTGAATTTTTTTTTATACAATAGAAACAAATTCTATCCTCAATACCGGTAAATTTTATCCCTCTAATTGACAATTTTCATGTAAAATAAAGTAAAATGAATACCAAAAAACACTTTTATTTTAACATTTTTCACGTAAAAAGTTATACCAATTAAACACAATAAATTGACAATTGTCAGGAAAATAATTTCTAGACAATTCAATTTTCTGGAATTCATTTTTTTCTACCCAAATTCCATCTTTACAATCAAACGAAGTTTTATAATAAAATGGCAAATTAGACATCTCATCAAATTAGTGATGTCTAATTTGCCGAACAAAACTGTTGTTTTTGTGTGGTATGATATATTGAAAGAGTAATGCCATTTGCTATCTTTATTTTCGTAGTTGTCCAACGTGGCATATATGTAATGGTTAGTGATTCGATATATTAGTGTGATAGTTTTCAATTGCCTTATATATTAAATCATTAATCGTCACATGTACATCATATAAAACAACTCCAAGCAACAATATTCCTATTGAAAAAGCCAAAATATAATGACACTTAATGGTTAAGTTAATCACTTGAATTCATCAATAATGTGCTTTGTAATGAATTAATCAAAAGTGGATGTGGGATCTTTTCACTTTGATATTATCTTTGAGAATAAAGTTGACTCATAATTTTACTAGTTTTGCTATTGCTTTTCTACGTCCTTGACTTCTAATTGGTTTGGTTGTATGCGTTGTTTATTTTGCCTAGGCCTAAAGTGATATTGCTTAATGATTTTTTTTACATTTTTTTTTTCGTGGCTTTGCCTTAATAAAAAAAAAAAATAATAATAATAATAATAATAATAAGTAACCAAAAAAGTTACATGGACCTCCGACTCGGAATGGACAATGCAATGATAATTCAAAAAAGCATATGCGAAAAACATTGGTAATATTCCCTTGCAAAGCTGCAGATCTTCACTTTACCTTTTATCATTTTTTCATGTTTTACTTTATCTGTTTTTAGCTATACAGCCTATACATAATCATGATTATGCGTGCATTTTCAGGTTATTACCGTCCATTCTGATTATTTGATTAAATAATATTATTTAGAGGAAATTGCAAAGAAAAATTCTAGATGAACAGTGCTGAGATGTCGGTGCCTCAACTCATAATCTGAATGTATCTGAATTTCAAAAATTCAGATGTAAGGCTGAGACACCCACCATATCAGCCCCTGTCAATAAGCCTGTCCCCAGGCCGTGTTTTTGTAGAAGAGTTCAATTGCAAAAAGTTTTTTTTTTTTTTTTGAAAGAATGAATTTTTGAATAGTGTATTGATGAGAAATGTATGGTTAAAAAATAATGAAAAGTTTTGAATTTGCGTGTAATATTTTTATTGAAAAATGTGTGGTTGAAATGATACTAAAACACTGTTGAAAAATATATTTATCCAAAAGAATGGAGTTCAAACAAAGGCTAAATAAAAGTATAGTGAATTGGGCTTAATAGATAATAAAAGCAAATGAATCCATTAGACAATATTAGCTAGCATTAATATAACTTCTCAAGAAAGCAACTTGTTCTTCTTCAAATTCGTGATTAATTGGAAAAAAATTGCTTGATTTTTTATTAAGGGTATAATAGACTATTTGATACCAAATTTGATCATTTTTGCAAGAATTATTAAAATTAGACAATTTTCAATTGACAAGCATAAAATACTAGTGTTTTGAGTCCGAAGCATTAGACTTAGATTTCCATTCAAAATAATTTGAATAAGAGCACGTTTGGCTAAGTTTAGGTCATGAAAAATTATTTTTTTACTTAATACTTGTAAAAGATACTTAACTCTTACTTTATATGAAAATATTAGCTTTTTCCCAAAAATTTTAAAATCAAATAGTACATAATTATTTACTCAAAGTAAACTTATGAGTATGGTGTTGCTGATCGTACATCACAGTCCACGTGGAAACCTCGTATTCGGCATTGAGGGGGAGAGGTCAAAAGAGTCATAAAAAGTTCAATGGCCGAGGTTGTTGCATTGAACGATGGGTAGTTTCACTACAGTCATCCGAAGTGGGTTTACTGTTAGATTTGAATCTACTTCTTTCTGCCGAATTCCTTAACGACTAGAAGAGGATCTAATAAGCACATTTTTGGAGATGATTGACTCGACGTTTTTGCTAAATAAATGTCAACCTTGGAATGTAGAGTGACTGACCTTTGTCAAATGTCTGTCAATGTAATTAATGTGAGGCAGCCAAGGTTTCGTAGATTAGACCACGTGGATTGAATCCAATGGACTACGTCGGCCTAATCACTATAAATAGTTAACTCTTGTAACATTTTAAAGGATGAATCTTCGAATGAAAAAGAGAACATAATGTATTTTTCTCATTGGATAATTTTCTTCTTCCACAAATATACACATTTACAGTAGATATATTACAAGGCACGTTCACATGTACATTGTTTTTAAACGACACCTATTGCACATTTTCAGATGTCAACATTTGGGTTTTGAGTGTAAACAAATAAAATGAAATGAATTTTGGGGTCAAATATGTGAACCACTTAAACTGATTTTGCCTGGAAGTTGAATGAAATTTGGTCGTGACCCTATACTCATGTTTGGTTTAGTTAAAAAATTTAATTAAAATCTAAGTTAAAATCAATAATTTATTTTAACTATACATTTAAGACTCACAACTTTTTATTTACACATTTCATAAATCTTATCAAAATCTACTAAAAATATTATTTTTATCTAAACCAAATAGGGAATAAATTGTATCTTTTCTTGAGGGGAAAATTAAGTTGTACCCGTTGAGTGAGGCATATTCTTTTTCTTAATTTATTCATGACCATATAACTGACAAATAAGGTCATGACATGGAGTAAGTTGGTTCGAATATTTCAATACCCGAAATCATCAATTACATTTCAAATATTTCCTTAAATTGAATGATTAAGGTCCACATAATTACGAGAATTGAACTAGAATTGCAGGGTTGGGTTGTAGACATAATTTTTTTTTTTTAAATAAAATTGTGAGCTAGAAATACAATTATCTCTTAGTATAAATAAATATTTCAACATTTTCTTAACCTGTTGCTAATATATCACCAAATAATATCAAATTTTAAAATAATAGAATCCAATATCTGGCGAAACGTATCATCGAATGACATCAAATATAAATAAAGCATGAACACCAAATTACATACCGAAAGAATAAACAAAAAACTAAAACCAACAATATGAAAGTTCTAGATTCTACATAATGTATACATAATTAAAAAGAAAAGTGCATTAATATGTTCGTTTGTCGTTCTATCTAATTTAACATAAGAGTCAAGCTACATATACAAGAAAAATTTCACGGATGTTTTATAGATAACACACAACGTTGTGGTGGATTGTTTAGTTTTTGTAATAAAATATTTACATGGGACCTATACATCCCCATGTGAGAGCCTATAAACCTTCTGTGGATTTTTTCTTCTGAGAATAATCCTTAACACAAATATAGTTTGGTCTTGGGTTGCACAAGTGGTTAACATCAACATTTTATATATTTGAAGACTCATATTTACATATTTATCCCTTGTTTCAGCCCCATTTTTTTGAAAAAATACATTCTTAAACAGTATTTTGATATCATTTCAACCATTCATTTTTCAATAAAATAATATTACACGAAAATTTAAAACTTTTCCTTATTTTTTAACCACACTTTTTACATCATTACACTATTCAAAATGTATTTTCTTGACAAAAATGGGGCTCAAACAAGGGCTTAAATAGTTTAGTGACTTATTATCTAATATTTAAAGATTTTGGATCTGAAACTACAAAATGCAAAAGTTAGGGGCTCAGCTATAATTTTCTAGTCATTTGGATCCTAATGAAACTCGACTCTTCAAGCCCAATTTCCTCCTATATATACACACGCACTCAGTAGTCAATACTCGCAAAGGAGCACACAGTCACCGAAAAATGGCTTTCCCTTCAACTATCTTCTCACTCTCTCTTCTCCTTGTCCTGTGCACACTCCCCAAAGCTACGCACGCTGGGCTCATATTAACACTTGTCAACAACTGCCCATACACCATTTGGCCCGCCATTCAACCGAACGCCGGCCACCCCGTTCTCGAACGCGGTGGTTTTGCCCTCCACACCTTAACCCACCGCTCCTTCCCGGCCCCCACCACCCACTGGTCAGGCCGCGTCTGGGCCCGTACCGGGTGTACCTATGCTAAAGGTCACTTCTCCTGCGCCACCGGAGACTGCGGTGGCCGTCTGGAATGTGAGGGACTTGGCGGAGCCGCCCCCGCTACTCTAGCACAGTTCACTCTCCACCACGGCCATGCTGACTTCTCCTCGTATGGAGTCAGTCTGGTCGACGGGTTCAACATTCCCATGACGGTCACCCCCCACGAAGGGAAAGGCCAGTGCCCGGTGGTCGGGTGCAGGGTTGATTTGCTCGCCACCTGCCCACATGGGTTGAAGTACTATGCTCCGGATGGGCATGTCATGGGTTGCAAAAGTGGTTGCACCGCCTTCGGCACGGATGAGCTGTGCTGCCGGAACCACTACAACAGCCCACAGACGTGTCATGCTTCGAGCTATTCTGCGTTCTTTAAGCACGCGTGTCCTGCGACAGTTACGTACGCACATGATAATCCTTCGCTGATGCATGAATGCTCTTCGCCGCGCGAGCTCAAAGTCATTTTCTGTCACTAATGGCCAAAAACTGGAGTTGGGCATGGAAAAAAAAGCAGATATTTTAGCTTATTTTAAGTTGTGATTGCTGCTATTGTGTTAGACTCGAGTAGTGTTTGTCTGTCTGTATTTTGATATCTGTGGTTTTTTTTTTTTTTTTTTTTTTTTTGTGGGTAAGCAACTATTGCTAAAAATAAATTATGAGGTTAAAATTATGCTATGACTAAACCCACTAGACCAGCTGTATCGATTTTGGTTTTTTATTCTTCAAAAATGAAGGTTTGGCTTTGCAAGATTACCAATTTATAGAATTTCGTTTCAAAAATATCAGAAAATGCAATGAGGAAATCAAGACGTGCAAGTAGAATTGAATTTGTCATAATTAAACACAATTATTTTTAAGGTCTCGTACTCTTTTTTTCTTTTTTTAAATGTACTTCTCTCTCCCTCTTCTTTTTAACCAAATATTTTTCTTTAAAATAATATTACAAGTAAATTAAATTTTTTTTAATTTTTTAATAATACATTTCCGATCTATTTATTATTTTGAAATGTATTTTACACAAAAATGGCTTCCAAACACCTCTAAGTTAATAGATTTTAAAATAATGATTTTTTTTTTTTGAAATGTATGTCTAAAAAAAAAAGAAAAATAAGTTTAAATTTATATGTAAAATTATTTTATTGTGAAAATAAAAAATAAATTTGAGAACAAATAATTAAAAAAAAAACAAATGGATTTTTACTTGCGTCTCTCTCTCTCTCTCTCTCTACATCTTTTAAAGAAGTTGCATTTTTACCTGTGCCACGTTTTACATATAAAAGTTATCTGAATTCTAACATGCCACGTTTTATGAATTTCTTTTCGAGACAGCATTTTGTGATTTAGGAAAGTTGATTTATGCGACAAGAAAGAAACACAAGTCTATCGACTTGATAATGGTAAGATTATGATTCTCATAAAATATTTAGAGGCAATATGATATGGATTAAAATTTAATTTTAATTTAAGTTAAAGTTAAATAATTAAAATATTAATTACTTTTTTTATGAATCCATAATTTTTCAACTACACATTTCAAAATTTTTTATAACAATTTATTAAAAAATCTACTTTTAATTTCCACCAAACACCCTTTTAGCCTTGTTTTATATTTTGTTAAATATTTTCAGTTAAAAATGCGTACCAAATAGTTTAATAAAAAAAATTGAGAAAAAAATGTAATTAATTTTTTTTTTTTTTTGGATTTTTTATATATATATCTTGACAAAGAATGTCGTTAAAAATGTCGAATATAAATAAGTAATTTTAAAATATTTTTCACGGACGGACAAGCAGTCACCTACTACATTTCTTAGAGTAATTAATTCCACTATCGAACACAACCCTAATTGCAAAAATTGTCGTAGTTACCCAATAATTAATGTATTTTGTGAAATAGAAAAATTGAGACAGGATTGGACAATGTGCAGACCAAGGTAAGGAAAGGGGAGAATAATGCTACAGGTACAATAATTTTGACATTATAATTGACAATTTTCTTACATACAAGAGATAGAGCCCAAGATTAAAATAATCACAGGTCCCAAATACAATAATTTTTACATTATAATTGACCGCCTTCTTATATACAAGAGATAGAGCCCACGATAAAAATAAGGAATAAGCCTCCCAGCCAGAAGAAAATTGATCGAAGCCCTTACCTATACAGTCACAGTGTGCAGGCTCGACGTGAATAAATAATTTCAAAAATGAAGTGGCCCACACCCGAGCTGTGAGTGAAAGTAAGGGCTTTTAGCAAATTCTTTTTGGCTTTGTAGCATGACCTTCAAAATAATCACGAATTTCATAATTGTGAAAGAGCTGTACGTGTACACCGTGCACAGGGTTGACAACGGTTCGGTTATGGGTCGGTTCAACCAAAATCATAACCTGACCACCAATATTTTGACCATACTATAACCGCACCATAACCACGTAAATCGGTTCGGTTTAATTTGTATCTTGGTTCGGCACGATTCGATTCGATTAATAACCACGAAAATAAATTATTTTTTATAGGTTCATTCATTAAATTGATATAAAACAATTTATGATAAAAGTCAATGAAAACAAAAACACAATATTCCAAACGAAAATGCAAACATTATCCTAATTTTCAATTGTAAAATACAAATTTAACAAACAATATTATAAATATAATAATACTAAATTTTTCCTTCATTCTTAATTGTTGAGCATCGAAGTTATTTGATTTATTCTTCTCTACAAGTCTTACTAGCATAGATCAGCATTAAAAATTGATTCCTATTCATCATTGGCATTACTATCACATCTAGAAAAAAATCGAACTCTGTTTTTACATGATCAACAGTAATAGAATGGCTAACAACGACTTGGACCGTAGAGACAGTGGAACCGTGCGCGAGTTTGTGGTTTGTGGAGAGTAGTGTTTGCATTTATATACTGTTATACTAATGCTATTATGGATTAATGGTAAGTGGGTTGACCGAATGAGTCAGGTAGATGTAATGAGGAGGGAAGAGATTTTGTTTTGGCCTGGACAGAAAAGTAGTATAAAGCCCATAATCAATTCAATTGTATTTTTTTTTTTGATTTTTTTTAACGGATAATCGGTTCGGTTTTAGTTCGACGACGTAAATACCATACCCGCACCATTACGAACCGGTTCATTAAAATCAAAACCATATCCGCCCCATTGCACCATCGGTTCGATTTTTTTCGTCCCATTCTATTCGATTAATCGCGATTTTCGATTTTGACGGTTCAAATTATCATCTCTAACCGTGCACACTGCTTTTTTCGAAAAAGGAAACGGACGAGTACACGTAAATTGTCTCTCTTAGGATATTGTGCAGATTGTGACTATTTTGTCCAAGTTTTCACGTTGTTGTTAATCTTTTACACGTTGCCTGTGCTCATGTTAGCTTTATCTTCTACTTTTTCTATTCTTTTCAAGCAAACTGGTCCCATAGTTTTATTATTTTTTTTTTCTAACACAAAGTTGATGGAAGAATGAAGATTATCCTATCATAATAAATAAAAAAATAAAAATCTTTTTTTCTTTTCTGATTTTAGAAAATAAAATTTTTTAAGAGGGTATTTGAGCTACATTATTTTGGCAATAATGCATTCTTGAATAGTATATTGATGGAAAATGTGTGGTTAAAAAATAAAGAAAAGTTTTTGATCTGCGTGTAATATTATTTTATTAAAAATGTGTGGTTAAAATGATGTCAAATCACTGTTTAAAAATGTATTTTTTTTTGGGAATAATGTGGCTCAAACAAGCCTAAATAAAATTTTACTAGATAAAAAAAAAGAAGAAAATTGAAAATATCAAACGATTCCTTATTTTTATTTTTCTTATAAATTTTTTGTTTTTGTTTTTGGATTAGTTTTATAAATAAAGTAGTATAGAATTATTATTTTCACTTATCATATTTAATAAACATAAAAATAGCATAAATATTTTAAAATTTGCTCAACAATTAATTTTTTAAAATTTCTTCATTATCATTATAACATATTTGTTTTTGTTTTTAGATTAGTTTTATAGATAACGTAGTATAGAATTATTATTTTCACTCGTCATATTTCATGAACACAACAATAGTGTAAATATTTTAAAATTTGCTCAACAATTAATTTTTAATGCATCACTTATTTAGCTAGAAAAATCCACATACTGATTTTTTTTCCCTTCGAAAAAGAAATCAATGTAATTTATGTATGCCAGAAAACTAATGAATAATAAAAAATTGAGGATCTGTTCGGTAGTGATTATGATAATTGATTTTTTGATCGTTGAGGAGAAAAGTGGAGGCTATCTGTGAATGAAGAAGTCAAAAATGACGGTTGAAATAATGAAATAACGATTAAAAATTTAATTTTTTGAAATAATAAAGCACTACCAAATGGGGGCTGATTGGCTGAATCTGTTTCAAGAAGGTACATAATATGAAATTTTAGATGACAATATCGAAAAAAGAAAAAAAAATTATAATTATAATATTTCAACTTCAAAAATTTATCACGTGATAGATCATAGAAGAAGTATCACGCATTGGGAGTGACACCCGTAGGAAACCGAGCTTGTGTCAGAATGCACATAGGATGCCTGTTGACACTCTGATTTGAATAAGGGACAGGCCCACGCAAGGAGCGAGTATCGTAGAGTGCAAACAAACAAACCACTTCACAAAAAATTATCATTTTTTCCTACATTTTTTAATAATATTATTTGCATTTGTTTATCATCGTGATCGTCCTATATAGCATACATATAACTACTAATAATTTGTTATATAAAATAATAAAATTATCACATTAATGTATACCATATGTATTCCACATAAGGCGACTACAACAGTAAGTGATTGCAAATAACATTATTATTTTAATCACTCAAGTTGAACAATGGTACATATTTTATCGCTTCTTGTGTAAAAATTAAAAAAAAAAAAAAAACCTGTTATTTCATACATTTTTGAATCATGTTACACTTACAAATTTTTTTTAGAGAATTATTTTACAAATAACACTTGGCAACAATTCATTTAAAGTTAAAAAATAAAAAATAAAAAATAAAAAAAGATAAAACTCCAATCAGATGACGTTTTGTAAAATGCCTATACGTATGGCTTTTTCCTACATTTTTAGTTACTCTAGTTGAACATCACTCCTTCTGAAAGGCAAAAAACCCTGTTATTTGTACAATATTTTTGACAGTTTCTTTGATTGATTGTATAAATGTAAATAATAATATATATACACATGATATGATGGGATATAATTTGGTTATAATTTCTTCAATTAGATAATAATAATAAAAAAATCTTTTTCACTCTTTTTTTGTCAACTCATCGGTAAGTAAACCATCATGTCACCTCAACATTTGTCGAATAATCTGTCAAAATATTTATATACAAGTAATTTAATTTGACAAAAAAATAATGCATTTTGTAGACAATATATTCAGTCAAAAAAGAGAAAAATTGCAAAGCTCAACCAAAATGCAAAGAAAATAGAATTTCTTGTGTTATAAGGTGATGCCAAATCAAATACACTTTACAGATAAAGATAGCGAAAAAGTAATATTTGTAACTTAAAATGATTCCACAATTGTTACTCATGTTTCCATGCGTTCCAATATATTTTAAAATTTTCTTTCAGTTTCAAAAATTGTTTGCAATCTTCTATTAGTAAATGTCGATAAAATTAACGCATAAATTTGCGGGACAAACGATCTATTCTATGTGGAATCTCTTTGACCA